TTTTTTTTTTTTTTTTTTTTTGCTTCTTTTCTTTCTGATTGCTTCTATTCCCAGTTTATTGCTAATAAAATCACAGAACCAGCAGCCCTAGTTGCCTTCACAAGAAAATTCAGTTTCTACGTCTGTGCCAGACCTTCCCAGCTTGGAAGAGCATTAAAATGATGTGTACTAGCACAGCTACAAATTGCTTCTAACAAAATTTAGACCAAGCACTGTAGCATGTTCTCCAACCAAAGGATGTGTGTTTGGTGAAGTGAGGGAAGGTTACTCTATGTTACTGGTTAAGTGAAACCACATATAATGTTGCATTTACTTCTCTCTTTTAAAACATACGTACTCAAAGTACAAATCAAACCCACAGAATATGGCAGCACAGCAGAATCCCAAGGGAATTTCAGTTGCATTCACAGTCACACTAATCAATGTTTAGAGTAATCCTGCAGGATTTTTCCCAAAACATTAAATATACAAGACAGAGGGACAACAAAAGTCTTAACAAATCTGTTTTGGTCAAACAACACAAGAAGGGGCTACTGCTCCCCTTCAGTCTGCAATAATCATCCAGGCTTTTCTCAAGGTAACTGAAGTGACAACAGCAATCTAGAGGTTCATTAAACTGGAGAAAAGTATTCCTAGGTAAAATAAAGCTGCATCAGATTGGAGAGAATTCTGGAGAAAGAAGAGAATTTAGAGTTGTGCCTTATTACTGAGTGGAATCCTCAGATGGAAGAATCAAAGCTAGCAAATAAGGTGCTCTGGGTGAGATTCACTGTGTTTAACTTTAGCCACCTAAAAAACCAAACAACTTAGCTACAGATCATTATCCTCTGTATTTCTCAAAAGCCAATGGAGATATCTGCATCTCTCCAGCAGAGTGAGAGTTTCATCTCATCCAAACACTGATGTGAAAATCAAGTCAGTCTCACTTCAGTGATGGTAAAAGGAGACCAGGATCCCCTGTTCTAGCCTTGGCATATCAGTTTTATGCAGCTGAAGACACATTATATTAAATCACATCTTCACAACTGGTCTGAAGGCAAAGCAAAGCAAACTGGAAACAAGGAAGCTGCAAATTATCACTGCAGCCTAGCTTCAGGGTACAGTCTGCTCCTACAGCAGCCTGTGCCCTGGAGGCTTATCACTGAAATCTTTAAAAGTCCCTCTTTTCTGTTTCTCCTCTCCCATCCTTTACACCAGCAAACAAGCAGACGTTGGCTGTAAATACAAGCCAAGTATAATGAAGGCAAGTTATTCAAGAGAGAGTTTTACATTTTAGGGAAATGTTAAAATGTTTTAGTACATCTCTATTATATTAGTTCTGCACTCTTAGCAATACTCCCCTGTATTTCAAACGATTACATCTTTTTTACCTTAAATTAGTGCTACTCTACCCTTTTGTTACAAAGTTACAGTAGGCAAGAGATCAACTCAGAACAAGTCACAACTCTTTAAACAGCATCAAGGCTGGACCACAAACAAAATTCAGGTGTCTCAGCCACTTTCCCTTGATTATTTGAAAGCCTTCAAAACCTCACAAGGAGCAATAGAACACTACACAGAGGAGATTTAGACTAAACTTCTCCCAGGGAGTTGCAAAGCACAAATTACTGTTTTCCTGTTTTTTTCAGGCCATTTGGTGGTTCAGGGTGTCACATAAAATAAAAGGCAATAAGCACCCCTTTAAGCTTTTGTATTTTTAATAGCCACAATTCTGCCATTAGTGAAAAAGATCTGCAATTTTTAATTGTAAGAAACAGGACTGATATAAATTGCTTTCTGCAGAAAAACATGGAACTGTATTGGTACTTAAAAGGGAAGTCTAAACATTGTGCAAACTCTCATTAAAGGCAAAGCTTGGTAAATGGAAAGTATGATGGCATCATCTCAATACACAGCTGTACCTCCAAAACTAGGAAAGAACCATGAGAATCACATTCAGTTTTTATTATGGAGCCACATTTTCAAGGCACAAGCTGTCATGTGCTCCAGGCAGCCCATCCAATTGCTGTTGAACCCTCAGAAATGAGTGTCTGGCTTTCAAGGGAGTAAGCTGGATAAAAATCAGACACAGTGCAGTGCTAACACAATATACAGGTAAGAAACACCATACATTTTTGATATTAAGTACAAAGCCATGGTGCTAAAGGCATGCCGATTTCAAAGTTAGCCTCCAGTCCTGCCCTCACTCCACCTTTACCTCATTAGTAGCTCTCCTCAGGCAGTGAACCTAAACCACTCAGTCCCCTCAGCAGTGGTTTTACACAAGCAAAAAGTGAGCTGACTTCAGGTCATGTGTCTGTGGTTCATCCTGGCACCT